ATTGACATTCTGTAATAATTAAAATAAGGAAAGTGCTAAGCACAGTACCTGTATACCAGAGGTATTAACTTCTCAGAAAATTATTATCCTGTTAATATAGAAAATTTTAATTGATCTGAAATGAAGGAACAGAATGACACAGCTAAAGAGAAACCTAGGTGACCTACATTCACACCAGGTTTAATTTTTGTTATAAATGCCTCTCCTATAGCTCTCTACCTCCAAAAGTGACAATGAGACTGTGCCTTACTGGACTGGCTGGCAAAGTTTGACTCAAGAGAAACTCAAGAATCTTTCAGGCTCTGATATATAATCCCTTTTATTTACCTACATTTAATTGAAGACATCTGTAAGTGGTGCCACACAAAATGTAATTCAGACTTAGAAATGTCAATAAAAATGTCTGAAAGGCTGGGTCCAGTGTAAGCCTAGCAGGGGAGTACATATCAGCAGCTACAGAGCCACACGAAATTAGGGATCTAATGGAAATATGCTGCCTGACTTGACGAGGTGATAAAAGCTCTTTTCCCATAAAGCTTAATGAGCTCTATTAGTCTTCAGCTTACAGGAATGTAAAAGGGTCAGCCCCACAGAGGGAAGTAACTGACTCTCCACACATGGTCCATTCAAATGACAACATATCAAATTACTGATGTAATTACTACAACCTGACAATTTCATTAGATTCCTGTGGCAGTTAACTGTTTAGGACTTACAACAAAGGGACACGGTTCATTCATAGTAATCATTGTGGAGAAAGTGAAGTTTAAAGTCAGTTTTCAACTGCAAGTCTCGTGTATTTTATTGTCTCTGCCAGAATAATTTGACTTTTATTCAAAATTAAAGAAGGTGCAGGGTATAGACCATATTTGTAATTTTCCTTCTCCAGCTACATCATAAGCTTAATGGCAAAATTAAACATTTAGAGGCTCCCAACACTGTCCTGCCTTGGCTTTGCTTTGGCTCTCAGGTGCTATGTGGTGGCAAAGGAACAACAGCCCCCGATTGGTGCTGCTGGAGGAGACTCGGGGGCAGCTGCCACTAACTAAGCCCTCAAGTGGCCCCTGTGGAATTCCAAACTAGAAAATACCAACAGAAAGCCTTCAATGTATTTCCCATCAAGAAAAGTGACTTACATTGGTCATCTTTAATTTTGATTTCTCTTCCTCTCCAACGTCATAAACCCAGTAATAAAAAAGACAATTTAGCCAAGGTAAAACATCACTCCAGATCACTAAGTGATGGAAGCAGACAGAAAAGGACAGAAACTATCATTAAACTCTGGATCCTTTCCCTTCCAATTTTCACCAAAGATTGAAGCTTCCTCACTCATATTCCCAATACTTAATCAGAGTAGTAATATGTAATTTAAAAGTATATATTTGTGGCTAGGTATAGTGGCTCACACCTGTAATCCCAGCACTTTGGGAGGACGAGGCAAGCGGATCACTTCAGGTCAGGAGTTCGAGACCTGCCTGGCCAACGTGGCAAAACCCCGTCTCTACTAAAAATACAGAAATTAGCCAGGCATGGTGGCAGGCGCCTGTTATCCCAGCTACTTGGGAGGCTGAGGCAAGAGAATCATTTCAATGGAAGGTGGAGGTTGCAGTGAGCTGAGAAAGTGCCACTACACTCCAGCCTGGGTGACAGAGCGAGACTCAGTCTCACAAATGTGTGTGTGTGTGTGTGTGTGTGTGTGCACGTGCACATGTGTGCGTGTATTTTCATATACTCTATACACTCTAGGTGCGGCTAGTGTACTCTAGGTACACTCTGAGCCCTATCTATAACCAAGAGCATCCAAAGATTAAAAAGGACAAAGGTCTCAATCTTAAGTAGCTACAATCTAACTAGGAAGACAGACGGTTAACCATGCTAAAATATAAATATTGGTCCCCTGGCCATGACTAAGGTGAAACACATGGGAAAAAAAAAGAAAAAAATATATAAATGTTGGAACTTGTCTACTTTTAGCTGAAACCTGCCAAATTATGGATAAAAGACTGCTACTCTCAGTGTAAGCCCCACCAAATTCATGCATTCATCTGTTCATTCATTCATTTAACAAATATTTACTGACTCAGTGCCTGCTGAACCGTAGATCCATCAGAGACAGTAAAAGGGGCCTCAAAGTATTCTGAGATTTTTAGAAGGACTATCTTCTACTTATACGAAGAATGGGAACACAAGAAAAACAGGGTCATCTCTCAATGAGCTTACATTTGAGACGTCAACTGGTAAGATTTATTGAGAAGCATCTTTGTCACTCATTAGTAACAGTCTCAAATTGCTACTTGCTTCAGTAAAGTGGACATCAAGCTCCAGCCTCTTATTTGGTCCCTGCGTAGGGAAGCCAACCCAGCCCAATTGCCTTCTGCTAAAAACCCTTATTCCTGTTCATTCCTCTAAGCTTTTGCTAAAATGAGGGTCCAGTGTTACACATTATCCACATTATCTCATCTAAGTTCCTGCCAGCCCCTTTTTTCCAAGGCTAGACACCGTTTCCACATCAAATCAAAGAGACTCCACTGATGTACACCTGTTAAACACTGACTACAAGAAGCATTACCAAAAAGCTACCAATGCACCTCTATCCACTGTTGGCCCTTTACTGGGAGAGTAAAGGACAAAACAACTTAACACTTTGTAGTTGTTAACATTTTGTGCATCTCCTTTCTACTTTTCTGTGCACTTGAATTGTTTTTAAACTGAGATATGCATGTATAATTTTGCACCCTGCTTTTACCTCTCAATATATCAAATCTGTTTTAGATGTTATTTATCAATATATACTCATAAGCACATATTCATAACCTCTATTTTAATGGCTGTAGGGCGTTCTATCATATGTCTGTGTCATAATTTATTTGATCTGTTCCACATTTAGGTTGTTTACAATTTTTAACCATTATAAATAATGCTGTAATAAACATTTTTATGAAAGTTTTGTCCTCATCTTTGATTACCTCTCTGACAGTGATTCTTGGAATAAAATTACACAACCACAGGTATGAATGCATACAAAACCTTTAACGTATGTGACCAAACTGCTTCCTATAAAGGATGAAATTTATAAACATCCCATCTTATTATATCTTGTCAAGCATTCACTTAGAAAATAAGATATCGTGATAGGATCAAAAAAATTGTAGCTCATTGTCATTTTAAACTGCATTTATTACTAATAGGATTATCATTTAAAACACATGTATTACCATTTGCATTTTATCTAGTCAATTACCTGATAAAAATCCAACCAAATTTTATGCAAAAGAAATTAGTATTTTTAATTGATTCTAAAAAATCATTACATTAAGTATAACCCTTTCATCATACTTTACCCAAGTTACCTTTTAGCTATATTTGTTTTCATGTGCAAAAGTATGGATCTTTACATAATCTAATTAATTTTTTCACCTTTTGTTTTTTGATACTTTCCGTTGCTTTTGAAGTTAGAAAGTGCTTCCATAACTATAGAGCAGGCTATAAAACTTATATTGTCTTCAACTTTTTTATGGTTTGTTTTTCACTTTATGCCTAACCCTTAATTAAAATTCTACCTGCCAGGCACTGTGCTCAGTGTTTGCCATAGCTCACCTCATCTAATGTCAATATCCATGTTAGTATTATTATCTCCATTTTTAGATTAAAAAAAAGAGCTCAGGAGTCAATGGCTCACCCATGGGCTGCTTGGGCCTTTCTCATTTCAAAGCCCAGGCTCTTTCCACTGTACCACTCTGCTTTCCCCTTGATCCTGGATCCTAGACAATGTGACCAAACCTGGATGGGACAACCCTATCTGGTCTGATCCATTGCTCCTGGTGACCACTCAAGCTGGCTACCACACATTGTGCAATGTGCCAGTGTGGGCCACACCACATTATCAGCAGCAATAGTTTAAATAACCAAATAAACAATATGTTATAAAAGCAGAAATGGTCTCAGAAAGGACACGGAAATGGAGTCTCAACCCCAAAGGGGAGTATGATTTGAACAAGCTGGGAATAGGAAAAGCATAAAATGAAATAAACAATAAGCAAAAAGGGAAGGACAAACGAAAGGCAAGGAACAGAGTCTCATCACGTCAGACTGAAGCCTAAGAGAACACAAAATAGTGCCATGATGTGCCTAGCAGAGTTTGTAACTGCTCCCATTTCCATTACTTTATTTGAGAGGTAAGAATTATTATTTGTATTTAAAAGATAAGAAAAATGAGGCTCAGGGAAGTTGAAGTTGTGATTTACCCAATGTCATATGGCTAGTAAGTAAAGGCAGCTGTTACCCAGCTTTGGTTCTAAGTCCCACCACCTCTTCACATGCTCTGCTTCCACCCTTTCTCTACTTCCTTTTCCAAGTCTCGATGATCATCTACAAGTTTTTCTGCAACTGCAGCTCATAATGATATCTAGGTCTCTAAACATCTAATAGCTTTTATCTCTCAAAATTTTATCACTGGATTCTCAGTTCTATACTGAAAACCATGATAAGGATTAAGTGAAAAAGTGAATGAAGAACCCAGAATATTGCCTTGTTATAACACAAGCTTAATAACTTTGCTCTTCTCTTATCAATTTACGGATTTTCAAGTGGTCTCTCTAACTGAAACTTCCTTGAAGACCTCTGATTTTTCTAGCTCTCTTTTAATATCATGGCAATTTATAGAACATAAGGTGGCAGTTAAATAAACATTCATGGGAGTAATGAAGATACAACAAGGCTCTTTAAAATGAAGGACCAATTTCTCTCTATTTATTGAGAAAGAATACTTAAAAAGAGGAAATAACCTGTCATGAAGGTGAATTGCTATTAATATAACTTCTAGAAACTTTGATCCAAAAAAAATAAAACCTACAGTAATTCACCCCATACTGTTATTGAGGAATAAATGTGTCACACCAAAATGACCACTCCTAAATTATCAAATAAATGCCTAATGAAAGGTATCAGTAATGGTTTTCCAATTACCAATTATAATATTAAGGTCAGTGAGTAACTCTTACCTCTAAAGGTGAAGTGCAAAGGAATCTTGTGAACTGTGGAGTCAAATTTGAACAGAATCCATTTCATCCAGTGAACAGACAGCAAAAAGGAACACAGAGAAAAGGAAAAAATTATTACACAATTTTCCAGTAAATGCACTTAAAGTGAACCTAAAGATCTACTATAGAAAATTAATGTGTCCATACAATTCATCCAGAATATAGAAAGGTTCAGCCTACCCCATAGGAGGTACCTATTTGAATTCCTTTCAATAAACATTCTTAAAAATCTGCATAAAAGCACATACAGCACAACAAATTAGTCCTAAAAAAAAAAATAAGTTTTATCTCACACTCCTACATAATAAAAACACCCTTTTAGGGGGAAAAAAAAAAATCAATCTTCCTGACCCTAAATGTGACAGGCAAAGTTTAGTAAATGCCAAGAGAAGATATAAACCAATGAGGCGACCAAGGAAAGGGGACAGAAAGGACCAAGACAGAGGTTGGGTGAGTGAGACAGAGAGAAGGGTGAATTTTCATCTCCACAATGTGGCATCTCATCTGTGATCTTCACCCTGCTCTGATCTTTCTCTTTTCTCAGTCCCATATTCCCTTCCTCCCTCCATGTCTCCTTTCCTTCCTTTCTCCTCTCTCTTTCTCCCTTCTCCCTCATCTTTCTCTTTCTTTTTATGACACACATAGAGAATGTAGAATATCACCTGAAACTGAATGCTATATGATCAGCATTCAAATAAACAAACAAATTATAGAGGGGGATATAAACAAATGACAAAGCAAATTGTAGGCTAGCTCTGAAATGAGGACTGTCATGTAACTTCACGCATATACATGATGGTAATTCATGTTTTCATAGATGTTACAGATTCAACATTTCAAATCCTTTGAGATTTATTGTAATAATACTCAAGTAATATAAACTCTTGATCTTTCTAAATGCAAATTAACTACAATAAAATGCAATGACAGGCCTGTTTCCAAGCACTCATGAACTTCCTCTCCACAAGAAAGCTAGTACTCACAGGGAATGCAAATAACTTGTATTCTCTTTTAGAGTTACATATTGAAATATTTATCAATGAAATTACATGATGTTTGGGATTCTCTTCACTATCACTGGAGATGTGGGAAGAAAAGTAATATGGAGTAGTACAAAAATAAAACAGGCTAGCAGGGCGTGATGGCTCACGCCTGCAATCCCAGCACTTTGGGAGGCTGAAGCGGGTGGATCACCTGAGGTCAAGAGTCTAAGACCAGCCTGGCCAACATGGTGAATCTCCACCTCTACTAAAAACACAAAAATTAGCTGGGTGTGGTAGCGGGCACCTGTAATCCCAGCTACTTGGAAGGCTGAGGCAGGAGAATTGCTGGAACCCGTGAGGCGGAGGTTGTGGTGAGCCGAGATCGCACCACTGCAATCCAACCTGGGCGACAAGAGCGAAATTCCATCCCAAAAATAAAAAAATAAATAAAATAAAACAGACTAGATATGATATTAAATCAGTGAAGACAAGAGATTAGGGTTCATTACCTGATTCTATCTACTTCGTAAATGTTTAAAGTTTTCCATAACAAAGTTTTAAAAATATATCACATACTTCCACCAAAAACACTAAATACATTCTTAGAATATCACTAACGTATGCCAAAGCCATTCAATTAAACAGTATCATTAAGGCCCTAGTTGACAGTATATTAAAATGTAAACACTTCAGTAGGAAGCAAAAGAAAAAAAAGGAAAGAAAAGAAAAAAGCAAAATGCAAACAGTAAGAATTGTTTCTTAATTTAAATATCAATATGCAGTTTGATTATATTAACGCAAGAGAACTTTCTGAAAGTGCAAACTACAACAAAATTTTAAGTTTTCTTAATGCTGACATGAAGCAAACAATTTTACTAAAATCTAAAATGCAAGCTTTGTGGTCTTGGATTCTTTCATTGCAGCCCAACCTAAGACAATATCTACCCTTCCTCCCAAGAATATAAAGCGCCAGTTCAAACACTAGCCAGTTTTAACAGTGGAGAAAAATGAGGCATGGTAAATTTTGATTTTAAAATCAGAAATTTGATACTGAAGGGTTCTATGATTTTCCCCAAAAGTGAATGTTAATATTATGCACATACTTTTGAATTTATAAGCAAGTCATGTTCTGTAGTAACGGACGCATCAATTAGGATGAAAGTTACTTTAAATAACAATAAAGAGAAGTATACGAATGCTGTCTATAAAAACTAATGTCTCCTTGAAGCTCCAACAATTTATACATATTTTTGGCACACGTATATGTCCAACATTTGTGTCACAGCTTTCTCAAAATAGACCTAAAAAATTCTCATCCTGTTTGAAGCTGCCAAAATGTGAAATATAGAAATAAAAGTTTTCAATCCTAAAGAAGACAAGACAGAATAACAAATCACAAGACACACACTGACACTCCTATTCTCAGGACATGAAAAAGATTTCAAAAAATGCCTTCTGTTAGTGCTTCAGTGAAAACCCATTGTTTTTTCATGTTTCACTTCAGTTACTTAGTAAATTCTTTCATAATGAAACTATATATATTAATAGAAATGGTAATACTTTGAAAAAAATTATAAAATTTTTTGCAAAACACATTTTATATATACACTGGAATTAAAAGTAGAAATAGATTGCTTAACAAACATTGTCACAATGTCTGATCAGTATTAAAAAGGACTACGGCTCAATTTTGCTGTTTGCCTAAAACTACTAAAAAGGAGTCTATAAAAAAAAAAAAAAAAAAAAAAAAAAAAAAAAAAAAAAAAAAAAAAGACTCCAGCTGCACACAGATGGTAGTACACATTAATACTGCTTTTCTGATATGGCTATATTAATAGGACTACTTAATAATAAATAATAAGTGGAGTTAATAGTAGTTAAGAAAAAGATCATTTTCAAAATATTTGGGTATGATATTGAAAAAATAAAAAATTTAATGTTTTACAAAATCTCTTACTGGTTCTGCAGATGGGCATATATTTTATCATTCTAATATCAGAGGTTAACATAGCCATATTCTTTATCTTCCTGTGTACCCACTTTTAAAGATTACTTCTAGGAAGTACCTTGATTTAACATAGTTGAATAAAGAAATTACCTGAATGATATTTGGCTTTTTAAACTTAACAAATTTCCTGTTAGTAACAATATTAATAACACTATCAATTTGATTCTCTTGATAAAATTTATAAAAATTCTGATTGCCAATTACTCTGTCTTGAATTTATAAAAAAAAGAATTATGGTCAATATTTAGAATCTAGGCATAAAAGGCATCAGTACCATTTTTGAAATCTTTTAGGCCTCTAAAAAGAAAAAGCATAGACACAGACAAGGCTCACTCTCCATAGTCTCTTACTGATCTGCTTTTCTTATTCTCATTTACCATGCCTGGTACCACTGTTCTATTCATCATCAGTAGCCTGTCTCATAACATAATCCTTTCTCATTCTCTCCAAACAAGCACTTAATGCTTACCAAAAATTTTTTTTTCTTTCTTTTGACTTCCCTACTTTTTAATTTTTTTTACTTTAAAAAAAATTTTTTTTGCTTACCAAAATTTTCTAAACCATTTTCCAAGTGCACAAAATTGTAGTTAAGACCTCTTATTAGTTATAATCAGTAAGATCTTTTTCCAAGTTATAGGGGTGGGGGGAATAAGGACCAAAGAAAACACACTGCTAATTTTGTCAAAAGATCCTAGCAATTTAGATGTTATGACTTCCTTTTAGATGAGTTAAAAAAAAAAAAAAAAAAATCCCAGAAAAGCAATAATTATTTTCTCTTTGTAACATAAACGATTCAACAGATAATTCAAGCCACTTTGTTCCTGAAATGTCTTATCTATTTAATAAGTAACAGTAATGAAATTCCTATCTTTTGAAGAAAAAGGAAACACTCAACACCAAAAGGCAATTTTTACAAAGATAAATAACATTTTTTCCCCTAAGCCAAGGAACATCAGTGAGGTGTTTCTATTTGCCAAAGTGAAATTCCAAGTCTTATAACTAGTCACATTAGTTATCCAAAATTTCCTCACATGAGCAAAACATACTTCTGGTTATACTTCCTTGGCCTTTCACTTACTGCACCCTACTGACTGCCCTATAATTTGTCAGGGGACAGGTCTGATTATTTTAGGCTATAATCTAACAAAACCTTTATTTAAAATTTAGCAATTATCAATCTAAATTATACTCAATGTAAAATACTAAATTCTTCCATCAGGAATTTGGAAACCTTAACTCAGTTAAGATTCTAAATTATGTTAAGTTAAATAACTTTTAGACTCCCTTCCCATCCCTGTTCAATTTCTGGCACATATTTACACTACAATTAACTGGTAGTTATAAGGCAGTGCAAAACTAGGTTTTATGTCGAGAATGTCTCTGATAAATCTACAACTCTAAGAAATTAATGTGATTCCACAAAAAAGTTTGTTTCATATTTCATTGCAGAAAAAAATCAAACCTTTAAAGCAGCTAAGACACAGCTAGCACCCATTTAAAAAGTTATCAAAAAAAATTAGAATTAAAACTGTATTTAACAAGGAGGGGAAACTAAGGTTTGAGAAGTAAGATCTTATTTAACCTGTTAGTGGGGAGTAAAAAGGGCAGATTCAGGTAATTCCCTAAATTCATTTTTTATAGCTATTCTCTGCCCCATGTGTAAGCAACGTAGCTAAAAGGACTGTCTGTGCTACCTTTTCTGATTAGAGTTGGCCCCTTAGGCATTAAGCTTCAAAACATCTTAAAAGATGACAACAAAAATCTTATTTACACTCTAATATATTTAAACCTCTGTCTTCTGAAGCATTACATCTCCTTTTTTGCCTAAGGTTAAAAAAAAAAAAAAAAAAAAACAGTGATCTAAGAGTTAGACAGTGTAGAATCTTATTAGATCTATCCACTTGAGTTATTTGGGCCTTGGTTTCTTATCTGTCTGTAAAAGAATTTCAGCCAAACCACCTTCCCCAGGTGGTGTCCTGTGGCATGTCAGGCTCCTGAGACAC